GTTTTGACTTCCATGGTATTCTGGCTGCATCTTGGACACACTAACTTCTAGATCATTCCAGCTGGGAAGAGAACTTGGATTACAAATGTAAATGAGAGCTCCAATAATGATCTGGCAATAACATTTTGTCCATTATCTCCTGGTTGCTGTGTGAAGAGCCCACTTAAGTTGTCCAACTCACACCCAGGGCTGCTTCTAGTTGGGGTCTCTTCATGAATTTTAAAGCATTTTAAAACCCATCCTGGCTCACTGGGACTATTTAGGTGAGAATTTCAGTTGCTTCTAGGCTTTTCTTTTGTTTTATGGATTTCAGAATCAAACAATTTTGTTTTGTTTTTGGAGATAGGATCTTACTAGTATCCCAGGCTGGCCTGGAAGTGGAGTTCCTCAGCCTTCCAAGGGATTACAGGAGTGTATGGCCATACCCCACAGACAAATCCCCTTAGGAAAAGTTATCAGTTATTCCAGAGGACATTCTTCTAGAGTAAAATAAAAGTTAAATAAATTGTACAAGGTGAATATTTAAGCTTATGCTTCTAATCTCCTCACATGATAAAAATATGCACACAAGGGGTTTTAAAAATTAATGTCTCAATTATGTTCTCTGAGAGAATAGAATGTTTGCTGCCCTGACTACGCAGAGGTCTCCTGGCCTGAACTCAGGCAGCGACAGAAGGCCAAAGGAGACTATGATTATCAGTCCACCTGTGGTTTCGAGCACAGCACTGAGCAGTAAGCGCAGAACATAATTTAGGTAATTTTTTTCTGCAATTGTTGGAAGTGAGGAGAAAACGAAGGATAAGGAGTCCAGCACACTGAAAGCTATGAAAAAGCACTTAGTCAAGTTGATCTGAAGAGAAAACATATCCTGAGGCAGTTGGGAGATTCAAGAGGATGAGATGGTTTTCCAGATTCCAGGAAAGGAGTCTCTACCACTGACAACTTTGTGCCAAGAGGAAAGGGAGCTACTAGGCTGACCTTTGAGATCAGAGGCATGAACAACAAGCTCTGGAGCCCTGGTCTGTCCCAGACATGTTGAAAGCTTGGGTTTGTTAAAACCAACACATGCAATCCTCTTTTTGATGATTCATGTGGAGAACAGGATATATACAGCAAAGTTCTGGCACATGTTTTGTGATCTCAAAGTCTAAGAAAAGAAACTGGAAGAACAAAGATAGGGGGTCGTTGGGGCTGGGGAGGGACATTGATTTTGTTTCCATATTTTTCTTCTTTGAGTGCTTCCTTTGTGGGAATTGTATCCCCATTTAGAGGTAGTAAGACAGTGGTGCTACATGCTAGTAGCTTATATCTATTATCCTAGCTACTCAGGAAGATGAGATCCAGTGGATCATTGTGCAAAGCCAGTTCAGGCAGGATAATCTGTGAAACTTCATTTCCAAACAACCAGCAAAATGCCAGGCTGAAGACATGGCTCAAGTAATAGAGCACCATCCCAGCAATAGTAAGACAGAGTTCAAATTTCCACACCAGTAAAATAAGAATCATAAAACAAAAAGAATGGAAACTCCATCTAGTTGTGATGTTTACAAGTGAGGTCTTTGGAGAGTGATTAGGATTAGATAAGGTCATCAGGGTGGGGACCTTGTGATTGTATGCTGGTGGCTAAGGAGACCAGGAGAGACACAGAGACACATATGTATTTACCATGTGGCAAGAATGTCCTGCAGCACCTTAGAACTTTGCCAGCGCGAAGCCCATCACTGGAGGTGGCCCCTAAACGTGTACTTCTAGAACTATGAGCCAGACTGACTTCTAGTCTATAGTAATTAGTGATGGGGAACAGATAAATATACATTTCAATAAACAATTCTGATCCAAAGATAGATTAAGTGAACTGACAGAGGGTACAGCCAACTCTAATTAGGTGGAAAGAAGCTGAATGCAATCCAGAAGCGTAAGGGTGAGGGTGAGGCTCTGCAGGATTGCATCCAGATACAGGATATATATTCCAAGGACTTCTCAGTGGGATCTCAGTGGGTGGACCTAGTGGCTCTGAGCAGGCAGAGTTCCACTGTGGGAAGAGGCTCAAGTCTTAAGGTGTAGTATGTGGGTAATAGCTTGTGATGTACCCCCAGATTCAGACTTTTGATAGCCCCTGGTTTTCCAGACCTCCTGCTGTTCTTTCCAGATGGTAAGTCTGCAGCATCTACTTCTATGTGTTTATAGTGCTAGGAAGGTATTTAATGAAATAGACAAGGAGGAAATTCTATTTGGATGTAAGTTGTTGTATGCATTAGTGTGGTCAGTCTAGGTTGCTTTATTTGTGACTTGCACTTAATATGTTAAAAATGTGCATCTGATATGTTAGAGACATTGACTTAATGGATAAGTCATCTTAATTGCATTACTTAGGAGGATTTAATGAATTCATTTTGTAGTCAATATTTAGATGTTCATGCTAACCTCATTTGCTGGATTTATAAGTTTAATTTGTAGGAAGTTCAAACACTTGGAGAGAATTTGATGTGCTAAGTTTAGCAGTTTTTATATATTAGACTTATAAGAGCTATGTAAACCTTGAGAGGGATTTTGTTTCTTTTATTTATAAGTCATCCTGCTAGGGATTTGAAATTTTTAGGAAAACTGGATGTACTAAATTTGTGGTTATAGTTTGAACTGTTTGGGGGAAATTTATTCATCAAGTTTATAAGTGCTGCTTCCATTTTTTAAAGATCATTTAATACAAGTTCCTAAAAAGTCACAGCTAATAAGACTACATGATTGAATAGCTTGAGAATGATCTTAAGACATTTAAGAGCAAAGATTCCATGCCACATTTAAGAGCTAACTGAACTTCAGTCAAAGGTCAAGAGAAAGTGGCTGTTTAATATTGTTATCCATACAAACTTGACTTACAAGAAAGTTACCTGATTTAGAAGGTGTGTTGAAAGGCTGTATAAACACAGCAAGAATAAATTGATTATCAACTGGAAATCACACAGCTCTAAGAACTTTTTTCAATGAACAGCGTTTTCCCTTAGGTATTAAGCATGCTCATGGCATTCTCCTAGTGGAAGTGGTGAGGTGGGGAGAGAAGGAGTTGGGTAAACAAGAGGGTTTTTTGTTTTGTTTTTAGTGTACTGTTTCTGATTTTGGTACCCTATGTCTTGTATATACATTTATCTGCTTTGGGGAAGGGAAAGGGAACAATAAACTGGTGAGACAAAGAACAAAGGGTGAACCAATGTAAAAGTGATACTCATAAGACACTATGTTGGAAATGAACTTTACAACTTGGGGGAGAGGGGAGTCGAGGGAAGAGGAAGAGGGAGAAAAGCGAGGGAGGGGGTAACAATGTTCAATATAAAATGTACTCATTACCTACTTATATAACTGTAGCCCCTCTGTACATCACCTTTACAATAAAATTAAATTAAATTTAAAAAAGAAAGAGTTGGGCAGTAGAAGCTGGGTGTGCTGTAGAATCTAGCACTTGCAACTGTGAAGTGGGAAGATTGGGAAGTCAAGGGAACTTGGGTTATAGAGATAAATACCATTCCCCCAAAAGTTTCGGGATGTGAATGATGAATGATGGGGAGGGGGTTGGAATGTGTGTACATCCCAACGGAAGGTTAAAAAGTGCTTAGACATTTCCTGAGCAAGCAGAAGGACTTTAAGTTAGAGTTTTGGTGGGGAAGGATACAAATATTTCACTTCCATTGCAATTATAATTTATGTAGAAGGAGTCCAAGAAGAGGAGGAGATAGGCATGGAAGTGTCTAATGGATTCAATAACTTGTTTGTTGGAGATGGCAATGTTACTTACTACCAAATTATTTGGGAATTTTGCACAACTTTCCTTCTCTCTGCACAACAACATTTGAAGGTGAGTTTATTGTATCCATGTTATGAGATCAAGTTAATGAAGCCCAGATAGGTTGAGTGTCTTGCTTGGGTTTGTACCTCTAATGCATGGTAGATCTGTACTCCTCCTGACTGGCTAGAAGGAAGACTATTGAAAGTTGTGATCTTCCAAAGCACAGGAAAGGCATTGCTGGGGAGTCTCAACTATTAGACATAATGTTAAGGCTGAATCTGAAGGTAGATCAAAGAAACAAAGGGCAGGGATGGTAAGGGAAAAACAAAGGAGGAGGCAATAATGCTTGATAAGAAATGTACTTATTACCTTGCTCATGTAATTGTAACCCCTCTGTATGGTATTTTCCCAATAAAAAAGTATTTAAAAAAAAGAAGAAAAAGGCAGCTCATGTGTTGTACTGAAACTCATGCTGATGTTTAGACCTCAAGGTTATAGTTAAAATACCTTCTCATTCATGGGGTACCTATTTCCCCTCCCACTGTGGTGGGATTGCAGCCTGTCAGGTGGTCCAGGTGGTCAGGTGGTCCTTTGCAGTCTTCTAGGCTGTCACCCAGTCTATGGCTTTTTTGAGCCATTACATACTAAATTTTCCTGTGTGAGTGGAATAGACAATAAGGCAAGATCTCTACCACAAAGTCCCACTACTTAGCTATATCCTTTTACTCATCCTGGACTAGTTGCATGTAGAAAACTAGTTTGGATACAGGTTTGCCAGGGTTTGGCAGACTGTAGGTTTCTGCTGATCTTGCCTCAAGTTGACCAAATAAAGAAGAGAGTAGGCTTTTTGCTGCTAGAAATGTAAAACAAACGAACAAACAAAGGAACAACTGGACCTGAGAGAGGTGCAGAAGTAGCCTGAGCATTCTCAGTATGCCCGGAGAGACAGGAGGTATGGTGGAAATGTGCCCTACCCCTTCCAGTAGTGGTTTTGTCCTGGAGCCCAGCACATACTGAGTGCAGCAGGGTATGGGTTCAGAAGGGTAGAGTGAGAAAGAGGTCGTTGTGATTAGAAATTGTTCTGTGTTTCTCCACTAATTACACTTTAGGGTCTGCCTGATATATTGGATTTGGTTTTCAGATTTTGTTAACTGCAGGAGGGAGGTAGAACAAGTGGCCACAGTACACACGTTGTGATGATTTCCCACTTTGTGTCACATACTTGTGTAGGTGCTTGGGACAGGAAGCTGCAAAGCATTCTTGTTTTCATAGAGCTTGTAGTCCAGCAGGCAGGGAGATGAGATGGAGACAAACACCTCATAGGCAGTAACAACATCACTGAATAAAGGATATGGGAATAGATAATGAGGACACTTCATTTAGATTTGCAGCTACAGCAAATCTACAAGTGGAAGTGGCTACTTATCTAAGCCTAAGAAGACAACAAGGCCACCAGGTAGGATGCAGTCCTACAGCAGATGGTGCTGTACAGAGTAATGGTAATGGGGTGATGTTCTGTTCCAATCACCTCCTTATAGGAGGACCCTTCCCAAATGGGAATGTCTAATAGAGATTAATGAAATGGAAGGACACATCCTCTCTGAGGTAGTAGGATCCTTACATCTCATTTTGTTTTCAGTATCAGCTTTCCCTTAGGTAAGGCATATAAAAGCAAATTGCAGAGCTCTCCAAGGTGAGAAGGGATAGAAAGTTGGAGGGCAGTGAGTAGAACATTTGTGTCTGTTCATGTGTTACCCCATTTTCTATGGAGACATTAGTGCTTTGATTGCTTGTTGGAAGCATATGTAAATTAACATAGTGTCTGTCCTACTTAAAAAAAAAGATTTCTAATAGTCTTTACAAGGTATCAAACATGTCCCCATTGGCATCATGAGGATTGTGTGAGACACTGGATTGGAGAACACAAGATAGGATGTCATTATTAATTTTAATAACATGGAATCTCCTTTCTAGCTTCTAAGTAATAAAGATTAATAAATCTGCCAGGTGCTGATGGCTTATGCCTGTAATCCTAGCTACTTAGGAGGCTGAGAGCTGAGGGTCACATTTAGAAGCCAGCCTGGGCAGGAAAGTCCCTGAGATTTTTATCTCCAATTAATTCATCATCAGAAAACCAGAAGTGGTGCTGTGGCTCAAAGTTGTGGAGTGCTAGCACTGAGCACAAAAGCTCAGGGACAGTATCTAGGCCCTGAATTCAAGCCCCATGACCCACAATATATAATAATAAGTTAGCATTCTTGAAGTTAATATATAAACAAAAGTACACATTCTTCCCTCTGTACAGTGATGCTCTTCCTCTTCCTTCTCCTTCCTTTCATTTTCTCCTACTTTCTGTTCCCCTCCCTCTCCTCCTTTCCTAAAATCCCAAGGCAGCTCTTTGCTGCTCACAAGCTCCTTAAGCATGTGCTTAGAGTGCTGTACTCCTTGTGGTGTTGGTGCTTATGCCAGTTCACCAAAGACTGAAGGCACAGAGAGAAGCGTCTCACTATCTCAACATCTGGCACATGGTAAGTAGATCCTCAACCATGGTTTGATGGATGGATAGGTGAGGGGGATTCTATTTCAACTCACTGCCATCCAATATTACCACCCAATCATATTTTACATACATGGTGACTCTAGAGATCACTGATGTTTATCTCTCTATAGGTCACTGATGTTCTTCAGAGGAAGTCCACTGTTCTCAGTGTCCTTTGGTTCAATGACACTAATGAACACAATCAACCACAAGTTGACTTTGTTGACCTTTGTCACTCCACATATTCTGGCTTCTATACTACCTCCCTGTCTGCTTTTGCCCTTTGTGGTGCCTGGTAGGATGTCCCCGTGAATCTTCAGCCTCTTCATTGGAAACAAGTACATAGAAGGAAGGGTGATGCTCTACTTCAGTTCCATTGGATGGTGGTAACCTCTCTGTTTGGCAAACTTCTCAATCAACATTTTGATCCCTGGTTTCTCCATTCTGTAACTCCATCTGGTGAGTTACTTTTTGGGTATTTCCATCTAATATATCATTATAGCACATTAAATTCAACATAAATTGTCTTTACTTTCTTCCTACTAACTCCTCCATTCATATCAACTTCCATGTCACATTATTTATTTATTTACTTACTTATTTATTCATGTTAAGGCCTGGGCACTGACTTTGAGCTCTTTTGCTCACGGCTAGTGAGCCACAGTGCCACTTCCAATTTTCTGGTGGTTAATTGAGATAAGAGTCTCACAGACTCTCCTGCCTGGGCTGACTTAGAACCACAATCCTCTTATCTCAGCCTCCTGAATAGCTAGGATTATAGATGTGAGCCACCAGTGCCCAGCTACATGTTGCCTTTTTACCCCAATCGTTCTCTCTAAAAAACAAAACTAACAAAACAAAAACAAAAACCCAAAAAGTCATATATAAGGTTTAAGGCTGAGTCAATTTCCATCTTTTGTTAGCTTTCTTGATGTTTACTTACCCTGACTTCCCACCTCTTCCCCCCAATAGAATTTGTCTGCACAACACATATGAAACACTCCTTAGTACCTTAAATTACAGTAGACTCTGAATCAGTCAGATTTGTCTTAATATGTAGCATAAGTATTCTGACGGAAAATATACTGCCCTGAGTTAGAAACATATCTTCTTACCTTAGTGGCATTTAGCTCATTTCTCAATGGGATGAACGTCTTTTTAAGTTGGAATAACAGTCTCCCTCATGATCCTTAGCTTACCATTTTCTAATTCAACAACAATAATAGTAGCAAAGTCTTGTGTTCCTACCATGTACTTTCACAGTGAAAATTGTTCTTCATTTCACCTCCGTGAACCCATATTACTGACAGTTTGGAAAAACAAATGAAACAAAACAACCAACCAACAGCTTTGACCATTTAGGACACTGAGACTCCTAGGAGTTAGGAAAGGATCTAACAATAGTAAAGGGATGGCTCGTAAAATGAAGCGGGCATTGAGTCTTTTAAGAGAAAATCTTAAAGACTAAATACCCACCTGAGATGCCACAAAGTTATGTCTGATCCCTGTCAACATTGACTTTGAAGGGTCCTGATTTGAAAAGATGGACATTTGTGGTAACTGAGCCTTTATTGAATGGCTATTCTCAGTATCTCTTGAATGCTTGGGTTATAAGTTCTCAAGTCCATCTCAATTAGTACAAAGATCTTGGGACCTGATTCTAGTCTTTGTGTGGGGTGGGAAGGACTGAAGAAGTAGTGCCAAGATAGATAATAGTATCTAGCCTAGCCAACACAAAACATTCAAATTTAGAGACCAGGGAAGCTGAGTGTTGTCTGCACAGAGGGGAAAGAACATCACAGTCCACAGGGCAGAGTGTTTGTTATTTGTGCCTGTCTTTATTCTGTATTCCTCTTTTATTTTCCCAGAAGGCACATTTCCTCTTTTCCCTTCAACTGTTACTGCTATCTGGGCAACTGAGATGACGCTGAGAATATCTCATATTTTTCAGGGACCATCCTGAGAAGATTCTCCTTTCATTTCCTTTCCAGAAACAGTCCAGTAGAGAGCAATCTGTGCTTTTCTTCTCACTGAAATCATACCTGCCCTTGTAGGCAGAGGATCTGTAACAGTAGGCTTTTACTGGGAGCCTTAGGTTGATGCATGTGTGGTATCAAGTACTCTGTCTATTGCCCCTTCAAGCCCTCCTGTGAGGCTCAGTACCAGCATCAGTCTACTCCACTGATAGCACTGTCTCCTCACCCCCAGTCCTTGTACTCTGAATGTTACTTCTCAATAACTGCTTACTTTCATAAAATTTCTTATGTATAAGGAATTTTTAACTCTCAAGTATGAGAAATTACATCATCTCAAAGGGTAAATTTCCTGGGATTTGTTGGGATTTAACTAGAGTTAGAACTGATCGGCTATATCTGCATTTGTCTTTGGAACTTTATTATTTTTCTAGGTAAAATAGTATTCTTTATGAGGAGGAATCTTTTCCTCACTCCCACTTCTACTCAGGGAAAGACTAAATGAAGCCTTTAAGTCAGTACTGTAATCCACAACTGAAGGTGTGAAAAACAAATCTTCTCATACATCTTGGTTCTAGAAGGGAATCAGGAAGAGTCTAGCAGGGTAATTTAGAGCCAACAATTATATCTAAAGAGTTTATCCTAAGGAAACTTTCAAAGTTGATGTCCAGGATATTCATTTCAAAGGTACTTGTAGAAATAAAGAATTAAAACAATTGGCATCCAAAAATAGAGAAATGGCTAAACAAATTATAGACACTTAATATGATGCATCCACTGAACATCCTATTTAAAACTATTCTATAATATTTAACAACAATATCAGCCTCAATTAAAAAAGAAAGTAAAAAAATCAGCTATTAAAATTGCTTTAGCTAGAGGCACGAATCAAGTGGTGGAGTGCTTGTCTAGTAAGTGTGACTAGAAAACCTCAATACCACAAAAAAACCTCACAAAAACAAAATAAACAGGGAAATGAAACTGATTTTATTATGATCAGAAATTTACTATTGAAAGTGTGAATGGCTATATGTGGTACATAAATGTAAGGATAAACCAGTACTTCAGAACTTAAACTGGTAAATTATCACCAGTGGGATTTTAAAGTGATACTTATATTTTCCTTATAATTATATTTATTGTTCATATGCTTCTCTAGAGACATGTGTTATTTGTTCATTTATTCATGTATTCAGAAACACAGGTGATGGTTAAGCGTCAAGTCCTGATTAGTGTTGAAGATATTAAGTAAATAAGACAAGACAGCTATGTTTCTTGCTCTGCTAAGAGTTTCTACTCCTTCAAAAATAGGTTTGAAGTTTGTTTTGATTATTGCATCTGATCTAATATTCTCACTTCTAGGAATTCCTCTTAAGGAAATAGTTAAAAAAAGCAAAACACAATGATCATATGGAAATGATCACATAGAAATTAACTAGAACTTAAATCTAGCAAAAAGTCTAGAAATCACTTAAATACCCAGCAGTAGGTGACTGGTTAAATAACTACTAGCACATTCATGCAATAGAATAATACGGCACCATTCAGATAATGTTTTCAAAAATGTTTAAATAGCACAGAAAAAGCTATTAATTTGGCTTTCTGTTCATATTCTGGAAGAAAATAAGCTATAAAATTGTATAGAATCTGACCTCAGTTATGTAGTCTCATTCATAAAAGAGAAATTCCAGTGTTAACAGGTGCTGTTTTTAGATGGTATGGTAATAGTTTTTGAACACTTGCATCTATGTTCTTCATATTTTCCAAGTCTTCTGCAATAAATAATGTTTAATTCTATAATCAGAAAAATCACACTGATGTTTTTAAGGATTTGATTCAAATATGCCATCAAAATTCAAAGACTCTACCAAAAAAGACTATTTCTTGTGACTATTTCCATGTTGGGGAAAGGAGAGATAATTCTTATGGAGAGAGCTCAAATCCCTTTCTTTCTACAACATTCTTGGGAGAGAATGGATAACCTTGCATGCAGGAGCCCACCATGGTTCTAAGGGGATGCAATCAATCATTATGTGATCCTGAAGCTGAACAAGGAGGAAAAGAAAGTGCACTTATAACTAGTATATGTCTGGGACAAGCAGAAAAGGTCAAAAGCTATGTATATATGACCAGATAAGAAGATGTTAAGTGAACTGAACCCAAGATAGAGACAAAAGTGGTTCTTTCTTTCCTGCTATTGTTTCTAACATATTTATAATGTACCATGTGATTTTTTTTGTTTCTTTGTATGTTCCTCCCCTATGGTATAACCCCTGTTTTCACTGTATTTGATGTTGGTGCCCTGCATCTTGTATATACACTTCTCTAGCTTGAGGAGAGGAAGGGAAAAACCAAAATGCTTAAATAAGGATACAGGTTGACCCATTGTAACAATGAGACTATGTACAAGACACTATGTTGAAAAAATGAACTTTACAATTTAGCTGGGGAGGGGAGGAGGGGGGAAGGGGGAGTGTAGTTGTGGAGGTGGGAGGGATGAGATGGTAGGGGAAAAACAAATGAGGATGTAACCATGCTTGATAGGAAAATATACTCATTATCTTGCTCATGTAACTGTAACCCCTGTGTACAATATTTTACAATAAAAAGTATTTAAAAAAAAGAAAGTGCAATTGAGGGAGGTGGTGACAGATCAGAAGCAATCCTACCTCTTACTTGACTCTACCCAAAGCATGCCATTGATAACCTCCCTGGGCCATATGTGCATATTAGAAACATGGGATATGTCTTGTTGCTGTCATTTTCTGTAGCTTTGACATCTAAGATACTCTGATTCCATCTTACAGATGTCACAGAAGGTCAGGATCCAGTCTTGTTTACCTAGGAGAAAAACAACAGTGGAGCCATGCAAAATCTGGCTCCTTGACCATGATCCACTATGAGGATCCTGACCCTGATTCCCACCCTTAATCTTCTAAATTACTGAGGGAAGAGCTGGGCTGTTTAAAGAGCTGGGACTAGACCTGTTATGTGAGCCAGAGGGAGACAGCTGTCTGATGCTGCTGTCAGCTGCCCACTGCTCCAGTGCTTACTGATTAACAGGTCTCCTTAGAGCTCATGCAATGCAGTAAAATGCATCAATTTACCCTCTAATTTAGCGATCATCAAGGAAGCGCATGTAGAGCTGAAGTGGTATCACCTTTCCCCACACAAATCTTTGGTTACTATATTATAGGGTATTTTGGGGGTGGGGAGATTGTGGGGGGGGAGTGTGTGTTGGGACTAGGTACTTGAACTTGGTACTAGGGCATGAACTCTGAGATTCAAATATTCTTGCTTGCCTTCTTTGGTTTGGGCTGGTGCTCTACCACTGGAGCCACACTTCCACTTCTAGCTTTTTGCTTGGTAGCTGGAGATAAGCATCTCATAGATTTGTCTGCCTGGAGTAGCTTTGAACCATGATCCTGCGATCTCAGCTTTCTGAGTAGCTAGGGTTACAGGAATGAGCCACTGGTGCCCAGCTAAGTTTTGCTTGGTTTTGCTTTATTTAAAAAAGCTGCTATGGGGTTGAGGGATGAGTCAACACAGAAAGGCTAACAGGTATGCCTCATGATCAGTGAATTGAATATCTGAAAACACAGGATAGCATGTAAGATAAACTTACAAAGTGCTTCATTTCATAGCTGCTTTAAGTAACTGCTTTACCTTCTAGGCTTAAAATATAAATGGATTCACACAACTTGTTTTGCACACACTGTATTAAGCACATATTGCATAAAGGCAAGCATACATGAAATTCACAAATTGGGACTAGACACCACTGAAAAGAATGGAAATACAGATTTTCCTAGTTTTAAATGTGCTTGTCTTCAGAAGCACTATAGGCCTTCAAATCAACAGCATAAACAATCTTCACTGTAAAGGGATTAGTAGTTTAGATCTGAAAAAAAGTTTTCTCCTAGTCTCCCTTGGGTTTCCTGTATTCATTTTTCTCAGCAATCACATCAACAGAATTTAAAAATCACACTGGCATATGCTTCCAACACACCCCCATATCCCAAATAAACATTTAACACTTTTGCCCATATAGATTGAGCATCAGAGGCCCAGGACACTCACAAAAACCCCTCAATACTAATAAGGTTACATTCTACTGACCAATTTTCCCTCATTCCACCTGATGAACCATTCATTCCAGAACACCAGCCTGTGTGTATAAAGGCCAGCCTTTTCATTGTCAATCAGCTTGTGATGCCTGAACCTGTTGGTCGGAAAAGAAGAGTTTGCAATTGTTTTTGCCAAGCACATTTCTCTGGCTCAACACATTGACCTTCCATAGCAAGAGAAACCTAGAAAAGTCCCTAGGGTAAGCTTCCTGGATCCCTGACTGTGATGTTTCTTAAGACCACCATTTCATTCTTGAATGCAAAATCCTAGCAACACAGAGAAAGCTGAATTAGAGCCTGGGATATTTTATGACTCTCGGGAAATACTCTTGTCAAACAAATAGAACTACAGAGTCGAAACAAGAACTTAAAAAGTTCCTAAATCTTCAGAGGAAAAGAAGTGGGGAGAAAAAAAAGAGAAATTTTGTCTTGGTGTACTTAAAACACAAAGCAACAAGAACCTGCATAGCCAAAGAGCAGGCCTGGAGGAATTTAGAAAGCCCCACTTTGAGGGTGGCCCCCTTGAGCAAGGCCTGAGCAATGGCCTTTCAGGCTTTGAGAGAGGTTAATGGAAAAGAGCAAAAGCTGGAGTTGAAAGTGTTGGGGGAGATGAGGACAATTACATGAAGAACATGAGAGTGTGTATGGAAAGGAAGTAAGATCGGTGATGAGTAGCAAAAGGGGAGACACAAATGGCATAGATATAGCATGGTGACTGGATGACTGGGTAAGAGGTGGTCAAAGCCCCAGGGCATGCATAGGTAGGCCACTCTAATCCTTGGCTCACACAGAATGCAGCCCAGGAGCTACCTAGCAAGGCCTCCTTGGCCACCTTCTCATTCCCACTAGGGGCAAGCTCACCTATCGAAGGCTACGGCCGTCATGGAGTAGATACTGGCGAAGACAGCAGCGATGGGGAAGAAGTTGTGGAACTTGCAGTAGAACAGGCCGTAGTACCACTCATTGTGGACGGCATAGGTGAAGTTCACCACGGTGTTGAATGCAGCCATGGAGGCTTCGGCGAAGGCCAGGTTCACCAGGAAGTAGTTGGTCACTGTCCTCATTCTTTTGTGGGCTAAGATGATCCACATTACCACCACGTTGCCCACCACGGAGGTCACCACGATGACCGTGTAGGCAGCTGCCCAAAGGACAATTTGCCAAGCCGGCTGCACGAACTGATTGGGTTCTGAGGTGTTGGTGGAGATGTTGGGGAAGAGGTCTGAGTCCACAGGGAGGACGTTATCCATGTTTTTTTAGGTAGGAGGCAGAGACCCTCCACCTCTTTCTAGAACCTTCCCCCTTTGGCAGCCGTGTCCAGAGGCTCGAGGTCTTACCTAAGCGAGACAGAAGGTAGGAAGTTTAGTATGTAGAAGTCTGTTCTTGCAGGCAGGAAGAGTCTGGGAGCTCAGAAGATGAATGATTCTAGATGCGCTGTGTGTCTGACTGCTCCTCGTGGCTCCGAATTCCTCCACGTTCAGGCTTCCAGGGGGGCGTTTTGAGTGCAGGATCTGGAACACGAGGGTCTCTTCTGCGTTAGGCTGAAAGTGGGAGAAGCATTTCCTACCCGGATCGGTTCTACCAAGCAAGAGAACCCCGCCTTCCTGCACCTGCTGCTGTGTGCTTGGAACTCCTCTTCCCCCTTTCCTGCGGCGGGAAAGGCAAAGCTCGGTGCCTGGGCGAGAGGGAGGACTTGGGAGACAGAAGAGAGATTCCCGCCGCGGGGCTACCTGTAAAAGTTCTGATTCTATAGCCAGGATTCTGGGGATCTCGTGTCCAGCTGGGGTTTATGTATGTATTTAATTTTCCTTTCTCCTCCTCTCGGGTTCGCAGCAGCCACCACCCCCGCAGCCGGCGCCGGCTGCCTGCCGCCTGCAGCTTCGCGGGTGCTTCTTGGTTTGGGTCCGGCTTCAGGCTCGCGAGTTCGCAGGAGCCCGCCGGGCTGCGCGCCTCCGCTTTTATAACCCGCTGCAGACGCGTCATCCAGAAGAGGCCGTACCTGGCTGCGTGTCCTCGCCAGTCCCCGTGCGCAGCGCGGCGCGGCGCTGCAGCTGCGCCAGCGGTTGGCATCTGTCTCACTCCCCAGCCGCAGCCACCACGCCTTGTGCGGCTGGTTACCTGCTGTGGGCGTGCGGGTAGCAGACGCTACCCGGACATTCCCACCAGGGGGCGGTGCGTGGCCTGGGGAGTAACTGGGACGTACCGGGGGCCCCGGCTGGAGCCAGGGTTGCACCAAGGATGCATGGAGTGGGGATGGGGATGGGATGGGAGGGAGATAAGGAAGGGTTTGAGGAGGATTTGAGGGATGGTCAGCTTCCAGGGAGCACAGCCCCAGAGCCCTGTCACAGCTCTGCAGCGGTGTCTGTGACGGTGGTGGTGGAAATCAGGCAAACGTGGTGGCCAGGTGCCAGCGCAGCGCTCTGGCCTCGCTCCAGCTTTAGTGCCTGGGGTGCTACATTGGCCAACTTTCCTGAGGTGGTGTTCTGGACTCTTCTTCGTCCCTCCCATTAGCTTCTCCCCCCCTCCGCCTCCCTCCACCTCCATGGTGCACTGCTTCCCTTGGGTAAACCTTTAGGACATCGTCCCCAGCCACCCTGGTGGAGCTGTCCTCTCCCTCTAGGAGACTCTCATCTGAGTCCTCTGATCAGCCTCCCCGCAGGGACCGGGGACAGGACGAAGCTGGATTCCCCGCCAAGCTTAGTGACTGCAAGAGCAATCCATAAGCCAGCGCGCTGTCCAGAGGCTTGACTCTAGCTCTTGGCCACCACCCACTGCTGACCGGACTCTCTCCTTTTGCTACCCGGGGACCCGGCACAACCTCCATCTCCTCGCCTGTCCGGAGCCAGACTGGGCCGGGACGGCATGGGGACTCTTCCCGGTAACCCCCTCCACGTTGGCACAGAGACTGGCCAGTCTGTCTGCCTTTTCTCCCTGCAGGCATCCAGCCCCAGACGGACTTTGAGCTTTCAGTAATCTAAGGCAATCTGAAGTGTCCGAGCAGTGACAGGGCACTCTGGGGAGGAGGGGTAAGAACGCAGTACCAACCAGGTTGGAGAGGCTGAGGTGGGGCTGAGCTCTGGAGCGTGTTTCAGGTGGATTGATTGCTACCAGCTAGGGAGAATAGAACAATTGAAGTCTTCCGGGAGGGAATCCGCTCCTTCTGCCCCTCCCCCTCCTTTCACTACGGGGGACACTGCAAGACTCCAGCCGGGATGGGTAGCACCCGCCCATGCACTGGTCTGGGTTGGCTTCTGTGGTCCTCCCTGGACAGTGGCGTTTATGCACTAGTCTGGCAAGCGTGCACTGCATCTCACATGAAGCGCTTCAAGGCTGGGAAGTGCATTGTACTGACTTATGACAAGGGAAATTCGGCTCCCCTCGCTGGAGCAGGGAAGCTGCTAGCTCACCCTGGTTTTGTGGGAGACTGAGATTTCAGCGTTTATAGGAAGCGCATCTTGCCTTACCATGTCTCAGGGGCATCACTAACATCCCTAAACCCTGCAGAGAGAACTCCAGCACAGCGCCTCCGGATTAGATCTGCAGCCGAGTCGGAGAACCGCGCCTTCTCCACGGTGGATCTCTGATTTCTCACAGCTGCTGCACCAACTCCTAGAGAGGCAGAGACCCCAAGAAGGGCGAGGGGAGAGGAGGGAGCCGTAGAGAAGCAAATATGACGGCCTAGAGGACAGAGGTAACTGATTTTGCACAGAATGGACAATATCTTAAGGGGAAAAGCACTAGCCCCGGAGCGATAGAAGAGGAAGCCCTCAGCTAGCTAATGAGGGGAGTTAGGGTGGAAGGTAGAAAAAGTCATCCACAGAGAAGTTTGGAGGACAAATTAGGATGAGAAGAGACTGGGTGAAAGGGAGAATATTCCTAGCAAATCATGTCATCCTGCTTTAAGCTCCCAGACAAACACTGTCCAGCTCACTTCCAGTGACACAATGGCTCTCAGACTGCGGCCCCCAAGTCTCCTTTGTTCTCCACTCTGATGGGGGGGGGTGGCCCATCTTTCTGCTTCCAGTTCTAATGGCGCATGTCCATTTTACCAGGATACTGAGGACTCGATGAAGCTAATTTCTGTTCCCCATGAAATCAAGCATAAGTGTGGGTGGGTGCTACTCAAGAGGCTGAGAACTGAGGATCATGGTTCAAAACTAGCCCAGGTAGAAGAGTTTGTGAAACTTTTCTTTTTTTTTTTTTTGCTGGTCCTGGAGCTTGAACTCCGGGCCTGGGCACTGTTCTTGAGCCTCTTTGTGCTCAAGGCCAGCGCTCTCCCACTTGAGCCACAGTGCCACTTCTGGCTTTTTCTGTGTATGTGGCACTGAGGAATCAAACCCAGGGCTTCATGCATGCTAGGCCAGCACTCTACCACTGAGCCACATTCCCAGCCTAGTTGGTGAGACCTTGAACTGCAATTAACAAGCAAACAGCCAGAAGTGTGCTGCAGCTCAAGTGGTAGTCACCTTTCAGCAAAACAAACAAAACAAAATCCAGTGAGAGCTCAAAGCCCTAAATTCAAGCCCCAGTATTAGAGCAGCAATGATGAAAATAAACATGATGAGTACATAATTAAAGAATAATCTTGAGCTGTTGGCTCACATCTGTAATCCTAGCTACTTAGGAGGCTGAGATCTGAGGATCATGGTTCAAACCAGCCTGGACAAGGAAAGTCCGTGAAAACCACCAGAAAACCAGAAGTGACGCAGTGGTTCAAGTGGTAAAATGCTAGCCTTGAACTGAAGAGCTCAGAGACAACACTCAGGTCCAGAGTTCAAGCCCCATGACTAACCCCTTCCTCCACCCCCCCCCCAAAAAAAAGAATAATCTGGAGTGGAGGCAGGATGACTGAGAACTTGAAACCAGCCTGAACTACTCAGTGAGACCCTACAGTAAAGTAAATAAATAAATAAATAAATAAATAAAAGTTGGGAGGGTTGGCTCAAGTAGTAGGGCGAAGTCATCAGTTCAAAGACCCCCAAACCTTAGCCATATAGTTCAGAAAATGTCTTAGGTAGGGACCTTCTCTGAAAGTGATAGCTTTCCCCTGTGCCAATTACATTGTACAACTATGCAGAGGTGATTTTTTTCAACATTATCTCTCTGTTCCCATTTCTACTCTGGACATAGCACATTCACCTGTCTCAATGTAAATCCTGTTGACAAAGTATTATAAATCCTTGCTTATTTGTTCAGGCTCACTCAAGCTAGAGAGAAATGTGAACACATGCAACGGACCCATACCTGTGAATGCAGAGAGAGGACTTTTGGTGGTATCTGTATTTTGTGTTTTTCACTCAGAAGTTTGTCCAAATACTGTTGAATCAAAAGATAAAGTTTTAACTCACTCTTCTCAATGGCTAAATATTATTATGCCACAGATGAACTGCAACTTAAACATTTGTTTTTCCACTTGTGAAAAGACAGTTTGTTTTCAGTTTTTGCCAGAAGAGACAATGGTACAATAAAAATTCTTGAACTACATTCCTAAATCCTAATTGTGTCTGCATTTCTCTCTCTCTCTCCCCATCTTTTCCTTTATTTATTTAGTTTTGCAGTGCAAGGAATTGAACACAGAGCTTGATACATGTGAGTAAATTATTCTATCACTGAGCTATACTTCTAGCTCCTAATGTTGCCCTTTATGAGAAACATTCCAAGTAAAATTGCTGAGTAATTTGTAGTACCCATAGTTATATTCGAAATCTCAACATTAGTATTTTTATTAATATATTTATAATCATATGTAGATATGTCATTTATTTCTATTTCTATTTTAATGCTGCCTTCCAGAGGATGTTTGATTTCATTAACAATTAGATGACCCTTTCTCCCCACATCTACTCCAGTTGTAGGTATTAAAATGCTTGTCATAAGGCTATGAAATATTGTAACAATGCTATCACAGAATATAACTTTACCCAGCTACCAGAGAATTTGCATTTTCCCTTCCATAAATTCTCTATTTCTTACCCTTTATTTTTCTACCAGTTGGCTTTTAGTCATTTTTCTAAATGTTCTCTACATTATTAACAGAAATATGGTGCTTGTCCATGACATTTCAAATATTTTTTCCCAATGTGATTATTTCTCTCCTGAATTTATGAATGTGTCAAAAACTTGAACAATTTTTATCTAGTTACACTTGCTTTAGTAACATTTGGATTTTCCCAGTCTTGAATTTAGAAACTTTTCTTAAATTCTAGCTATTTTCAGTCTCCTAGATTTTTCTTGACAGTTTTTAATTTTA